TCTCTATGAGAAACTGAAGATATATTGGTGTTATCAGTGAGGTATGATGGGCACTGTGGACTGAATCAGAACTGACAAAATTGATGTAATGGTGAAAGTCATTACAAAATCTGGGAAGAAAAGCAGTCCGTTCTAGGTGTCAGAGAATCCTGCAGCCAGAGGGCAAAAGTCATGATGGAAGCTTTGTCATAGTGAAATGAACAGTGGACTTGGCAGTGTGGGGGCTACCTTTTTAATGTCTTCCTCCTCCTACTCAATTCAACAGGAAGAAAAAATTATGTTCCAGGGCCAGGACTGGTATAAAGTTGCACAACTGATACAAGTGACCATTGTCTGTGAGGAAGTGTAAGAAACTGTGCAAGGGTACTACCCATGTCCCACCTATGAATCTGCCATATTTTCATCATTCCACAGCATACTTTTGCCAGTGGAGTAAATCCTCTGGTGTATCTGAGCATTTCATAGGTATATCCTTATCCAGAATTATGTCAAGCAAAGTGAGGCTACCTACAAATCTTAAGGCTTCTCAGCCAGCAGAATTCAAATATATGATTGAGTCTTAATTTTTTTTTCTTAGACCTCTTTTGCTAAAGGCACTAGCTCTAATTCTTCAGCTTCTTTTCAAGTTCAGGTGTGGATAAATGAAAAACAGATGTCTCCCATGTTGGGAGAGCCAGTAGCTTTACACTGCTGTTTCATAAACATTTTATGGCACTCCTGATATATATCTTATTTTTAAGAGGAATTTTGTGTGGATTAGTAGTCAAATAATTTTCAAACCCTGTTATGGAAAATGCATTCTGTTGCCAAGGGAAAATGACCTTACTTTCAGGATACTGACTTTATGAACCAAATGGAAATGTTTATTGCTCTACACATCCATGCTCTGCTTTCATTCTTCCAAAACTGTTCACCATACAGAAGTGGACTGATTCACAGCAGATCAGGATATATCTAGCCCATTTACTGCCCACTGAGTGCTGTCACACAAAAGGCACTCATTGCATCATTACAGATAAACAAATACTTAGGCTCCAGTTGTTACAGAATAAGAGAGAGGCATACCAAATGAAAACAAAGCATCAGTTCACACAACCAACTTATAATGATCTCTGGATTTTTAACAGGGTTAAGGTGCACTTTATATTTATACTGCATACTCCCTGGACAGCTCTCCATTTACCCTCTTTTCCTGGAGATCATAAAGGCTGGCTTGACACTGGCTTTCGTGAATTCTGGTTTGACAGCGTCTTCGAAGTGTCCAAACAGCACCTTGAGAGTCTGCTGTGGCTAGCAGGAACTTTCCTCCAAGGGTTTTTTGGGGGGCACAAAAACATTGTATTATTTATTTAGCTACACTTGGGCAACTACAGAGGTTTGCAGATGTGTAGATACAGAAATTTGAAGCCTAAGCTTGGGCAATGGCCATGGGGATACCAGCCCTCAACATTGTACAAAAGAGACTCCTGATTCCTAGTTCCCCTGAAGGGGTTGGTCATCTGGATTTGGGTGCTATGAAAACTCATTGCCTTCAACAACAACCCCAAGGACAAGCCACAGGCTGTCAGGGTGTCTTGTTGCCCTCAAGCAAGCGGTCTGGGTTTCCACAACACAACATACCTTGATGAGCAGGAACCCATGCTAGGTTGTCATGTCAAACAAACAGAGTCTTTGGCAGATTTAACATCCTAGGAAGAAGGGTATCATTTCAGATCAAGCAATCTACAATAACTTTAATGCTTTCTACATAGTGCTATGTGAAAGTTGGTTACTTATCACAGTTAGGTTCACTATATTAACCAAAATTACACTGTTTTTTATTAGCTCATGTCTGCTTTGTTGTTGTTATCAAAAACACTCTTTCAGAATGTTTCTATCTACAAATTACATATGCTGGGTAGGATGATATCCTAAACTCTGTTGCACAGATGAAGCACACTGATAGATGGATGCAGCCAGGCTTCATGGGCATTGCATCATTGTCGCACTGATGATGGGCTACCATGTGTGAATTCTCTGGCTGGCAGGGCACTGCTTGTGCTCATGGGAAAATCAGGTGAAATCAGAGCTGTGACAGGAAAAACCAGGGCCTGACTGGAATTTTATGCTAATTCAGGTCATGTTCCTGCCCTTTATCTACCCCAAGCGAAAATAAAGGGAAGACCACATCTTCTAATTTGACTCTTCAGATTCCTCTAGTCCCCTTCACAGTGGATCACAATCTGAATAGCACTCCAGATACCCAGGGCCACAGAATGTCTTTCCTTCCTGAAATATCTTTAAACTATGTACTGGCTTCATGACTCCCTCTTACTCAATAAAGGGCAAATAGGGCAAGTGGGCATTTTGCATGAAAGGGGCCACTCCTTGCTCAATCAATGTAAGCTCTCGCCATGTACCTTACACTACTGGGAGCACAACTATCATAATGGGAAGACTCATGTTGGAGAGCAAAATTTGATTCTTCACCTCTAGACTCTGCTAGGGCTCAGGGGCTACATCGTGCTCCTGACATTGTTACTGGAAGATCAGCAGCCAGGCCATGAGCCAGGAGTGGCTCAATCCCAATTTTAACATGAAGCAACTTAATTTGTATTTCCTGAATTAATCCATGAACTAGAATAAATTATTCTTCAGTTCTTACACACTTTCCCAACTTTTCTAATACATGACTCTGATTGAAAAAATGTGCATAAAAACTACTATATATGGGGAAACAAACAAACAAAAATCAATTTGTGAAGATAGTTTGCAAAGCTGCATACATCGGGGAAATTATGTACAAAAATGCAGATTTTTTTCATGTGAACTTGAAGAATCTCATTCACAAACTGATGTGGAAATGGGACAGAACATTGTACTTGAAGGGAAGAAAAGCAAACATTATAAAAAGTGAAAGAGACAGATTGATCTATTCCTCTCAGCAAGGGAAAGGTGAGAAATCCCAACAGCTCAATGTCCTCTTAACAGTCCAGTAATTACTGCTATTATGATAAACAGAGCAGGGATTTGCACCAGGTAGAAGGAAGAGGAACATTTCTGACAAGGTCTGCTGGGCAAATAGTCAGCAGAGGCTGGCAATGAATCAAATGAACAAAGAGAAGTTTTGGATGGAATGAGAGCACTGGGCAAAAAAGGATTACTTGGGCCATGTACCTCTCACTCTGATTGGTTATTGCAGTGCATTTTCACATATGGAACTCCCCAGCCCCTTTTTCTTGTGGGCCTGTAACCAGCACTCAGTCTTGGGACCACTTCTGTATTAAACCTGCATTGTTCTACTTAGTGCAGGGCCCTTTCATTTGTACCTGAATGCTTGGTTGAGTAAATGGGGACATGTCACAGGCTAGGCGACTAAGAGACAACAACGACCCCATATGGAATTCTCTTCTCACTGCTCTTGTATATATGGTTAAAGCACTACTCTGTAAAGAAAGAGTTCTAGGTTCTGCTGCTTCCATTTAAACTGGCCATTGCTGGAAGAATGCCTTTTCACTCAAGATAGTAAAAGCTAGGCTCTGTTTTAGGGAACTTACATTTTTATTTGACAAGGGCACAGAACTGAATGTTGAGCTTTTGTATACCACTGCATCATTCTTTCCCACTGAGCTACATGGTAGCTTACATTGATTTCTCTTGCAACCTTGCTAATGTGTGTTCATTTTTCCTTGTCCAGGAGGTTCATTTCTATCTCCTTTGCATAATAAACAAAGAAAGAAATCTTATTTCCTTCACAGACTTGGTATGAACATGTTGTGTGCAATGCTGTAAACATTCTCTGCTCAGATGGATCAATCTATTTCCAGTTGTTCTCATTTTTACATGTTTTTTATTTAGAAATCTGTTTTGCTTCTACAAAATATGAATTTAAATCTGTATTTTGTTCAAGATGGAGATATATATATATATAGATACACATACACTAACACACATATATACTTGTCATTTGATATGTTCAAACCTCTGAGAACTGTGTATCAACATTTAGATAATCACAAGTTGGATTCTGATCAACATATTAATCCAAGAGGTGCAGAGCAGGTCAGTTTTCATAGGAATCTGCAAAGACAGAACCCTTCAAGAATTGGCGTCCCAACAGAAAACCATAATTTTCCTGAAGGACTGTGGCCTAAGGATCCTACATGCAGGCCTTGTAATGATTGGACTATGGATTTGCCTGGTTATTGTAACCCTTCCTTCCCTGCTTAAGCCCTAACTTTCCCCTGAAAAAATGTTTTTTCCAAGCAGCTCTTGTCTGTTTTTGGTATGCCAGTCTTCTCTACTGGTCATAGGAAGCCTCTCTTGGTAAAGAAACTGAATGTTTTTGCTGGACAGAGGGAGTATTTGTGAATTGTGTAAGTATAGACTACATCCCTTCCATCACCACATAGATTAATGCCTTCTTTGCACAGATACTGTGGGTGGATTGTGGCAGATTTACCAGACACTGTGAGAATGACTATCAATTTTGCTCCATTGCTTTTTGCTGCTATACTTTTGCTTTCTGCATTTCTATGAATACATAGGATCATGGGCGGTACAACATAGGGACTACTGACATTGGAATAGACTGCCAAAATGATTGTTGAAGTTGACACTCAGTGGGCAACTTTGGAAATCTGGGAGCTATCCCCCCTCACCCTCTGTATGGGCCATCTCTCTCCCAGGATCCAAAAATGGATATAAATTAAAAAGAAATAAAATGTCAAAAGGCATTCAGAACTGCTAAGGAGCATGAAAGGGGTCAAAATCTACTTATGTGCAAGCAGTTAATTTTGACCTTTAAGGGACTGCGGGTGGCACGGTGGTTTAAGCTGTTGAGCTGCTGGGCTAGAATCCACAGATGGGTTGAGCTCCTATGCTTTGTCCCAGCTCCTGTCAACCTTGCAGTTCGAAAGCATATAAATGCAAGTAGATAAATAGGTACCACTTCAGTGGGAAGGTAACAGCATTCTGTGCACTTCGGTGTTTAGTCATGCTGGGCACATGACCAGGGAGACTGTCTGCGGACAAACGCTGGCTTCCTCGGCTAGGAAATGGAGATGAGCACTGCCCCCAAGAGTCAGACATGTCTGGACTTTAATGTCATGGGAAAACCTTTACCTTTAATTTTGACCTTTATGGAACACCATGACATTGCTGATGTCCTTTTGTTCATTTTTGTTCCTACCCCTTGAATTTTGGGAGGGGGGCAGGGCCACAGTGAAGGATGAGGGGCACATACCACCCATGAGCTGCATGATTCTTACCTGTTTTTTATTATTACCTTTCACTTACATCCCACCTTTCTTCTCTTGCAAGGAACTCCAGGCATCCTGGATTCTCCTCCTCTCACCTGATCCTGAAAATAACTGTGTGAGGTATTTTAGGATGATATTCACAACATAATATTTATGATTCTGTGCTCTTTTGAGGAGACACATTCATAATACTTATTGTTACAGGACAAAACTCAGGTTTGCACTGTAGTATAACCTCTGAATTTAGGTCTTGAAAGGAACACCATTACAGGATTCATCCTTCTCCAGGTTAGTCTTTTAATGTATCAGTGGAGTATTGAGGAGAAAAACTTCTTCCTAGGACAAAACGGGTGACAATTCCCTTTGTACCCTCAAGCTAAATCTGTAGACTGCTGAGTTGGAGATGTTGGTAGCAAAAAGGAATTTCTATTATTGTTAGATACAAGAAGAATATAATGGACTTTTTCTCACAGCAAAGGTTTCACTTGGGGGGAAAATGTCACATCAGGACTGTAGTCAAAGTAAAGAGTCAGTCAGACAGGAAGTACATTCCACTCCATGGACAAGAAAGAAACTGTAGGACTTTTCTGCTATTTGACAGCTTCAGTGATTGCATTAACAAAGGGATCCAAAAATGTGGAGGAATAAGCTACATGATGTCGCTTCACCAACTGCACAGGGCAAATGTGGGTATTGCATTGCTACTGGCCATTTTTAATGAATTTATCAGATGAGTGAATGAAGTCCTATAACTTGTAGGGGCTTCTGGAGAGCAGTCTGTTTGCTTAGGAGAGGCATACATTATGGAGAACACTATTGGATGTTCCTCTGCTGCTCTTTGATGTCATGCTTTCTATTGGGCTATCTTGACTTTTAGTGGGTTGGCTTTGCTGATTTGCTCTTGTTTGATACCAGTGATCAGGTAACACAAATTAGATGCCACAGTACCTGTGCAAAATGACTGCATTCAATGAAGCACCATCCATATGCTTCCCCTTTTGGCTTTTCAGTTAAAAAATACGTTTGGGGAGATGAATAATTATCCTTTACTTGACCAATAGATGATATATTACAATTCTAATAATACTTTTGAAAAGCTAAAATGGTATATTGACTAGAATGTATGTAAACAGACCGATATATATCACTGTATTGCACATTTGAGTCAACTTTGGAAGAAGTCGAATATAAATACTACATATCTAAAAAGCCACCAGTGTGTTATCCAGACATTTCAAAGGTATGCTAGAACATAGATATGCAGCCCAAATTAACAATTAAAAACAGATCTGGGTTAAATATTGTTTGTGTCTGGCAAACAATCTTTTTCTAAGAATTTTGGTAAACATATCAAAATCCACTATATGGCCAAATTCCTCATATATTTTACTTTAGATCAGATTTTTTCATTGTTGCTGTGATCATACTGAAATGACTATGGACACTTACAGCTCATGCCTTTATACAACATCTTAACCTTTTGCACTGCAATACTTGCACTTCTGTGAAATATTAGTTGTTGGTACATGTGAGGTTAGACAGGTTAGCAATTTCTCTGCAATTGAAAGAGAAAGAGACTCCTTTCCAAAGGCCTGTGTTTGAGAAGATTTGGACTCCAGTGACACCTACCTTGCCATAATGTGTATCTAAGAGTATCTACTTATAAATCACAACAGCTGATTCCAAAGTTTTCATAGACAATCAGTCCCTTCCTTTTCCTACAGGCTTATCTCCAAAACCCAGGCAGTTGTGGCTTCAGCAGGCTAGGATTGAAGCATCCCACACTTGTCTGGTTAGCACCAGAATCAAAATGGAAAATAAAGGTTATTCTGTATCAAAGTGGTGTCAGATGAAAATTTAAACCACCAGCCTAAATCTGGTGTAACAGTTATAATTTCCTCAGCTTCTGAACACAAGGCTCCTTTGCACTAATCGGTACCCATAGAACTATTTATTCTCTATTCTGTGAAATCATCTTTGACAACTATATTGTTGAGCATTTTCTTTTCAAATCTATGAAATGCCTTCTTATCACCAAGCATAGCAGAGCTATCTTAGAATACTACTAATTTCTCTAAGGACACTTATTTATTTACTTATTTAAAACATTTCTATGACGCCCCATCGTAATAAAGCCTCGGGGCGGCTCACAAAACATCAATAAATAACAATACAATAAATCCCCAATACAATAAAACCCCAGTGCAATAAAACCTCAGTGCATTCTCAGCTATACATTAAAAAAAACCTAGTTAAATAAACAATTAAAATAAGTTTTAAATAAAACTTGCACTATGATATATTTGAACCATAACTTCATGAAATGAAACTGCCAAGATGCTACAGCTTATGCTGAGATCCTGAAATTCAACACTACTGCAGCACAATTATGCTGCTGTGATTTATGTAGACCATCTCATGATGGTACTACAGCTTTGCAAAAGCTGTGTGAGATTTGGTTTGCATCGGTACACAGCTTTTTCTGTCCCAAGCATTCCAGCCAAATATTCAACATCAATTATACAGGGAACTGTCTGGGTGCACAACATATAAAGGGAACTGTCTGGGTGCACTGGTGTGCCTGGGGATCTCTTTTCCTAAGTGGAAACAGTATGTTCATAGATTTTGTTTTTCTTTTCTGAAGAACCTATCTAGAAGATCATTTGTTTGAAAACACAGGCCAAACAAAGGCAAAAAGATTTGGTACCCAGTGTACTCAAGCACTGTACCTTATTTACAGTTGCCTTCTATCAAGTATCTTTGCTAGTGTTCACTAATTATGCAGATTCATAAGTGTTAACCAAATTAGCATGTTATCTAAACTACTACTCTTTCTGTACATTTTTAATGACTCCATTGATTTCACACACATAATTCCCAATTTATTCAGTTTGGATCCAAAGAAGAATGTGAGCCTTTGGAAGCATGGAATATAAAGACAAGCTCCAGCAGTAGCTAGAGAGTATAGCACAAGCTGAATATCAACTCATCTTATCTTTAATCTCATGGTAGTAGTAGTAGTTGTTTTTAAATCCAATTGCTTATAGCATGTTGTTGTCTAACCATTCTTTTTCAAACAGAGAAGTGCATTTTCAACATCATGATTAAATATTACTAATAATTTAAAATGCAATTTGTCAGCCAATTTGTTTTGAATAAATATGCTCCTTTGCACCTGCAACCTCAGTTTTCTCTCATTAATGCCTGCAGCTCTAGTCAATATTTTGACCTAAATTATGACCCACACTCTGTGATTCTTTGCTAAACACAGTGCTGCTAATTTCTCTTCTCTTGTTTCAAATTTCCCTGTTGCCAGCAGTTATTGAAATCCCACTGACCACAATTCCTTTAGTAAATCAGATTCACAGCTACTATTTAATAAAATGCAGGCTCCTGCATTAGACAGACAGTTGCAGGAGACAGGGTGAAAACATGAGAATGTATATAGAAAGAAAACTAACAAGATAACGGGCCATGCTTCAAATCCTGAGGAGTGTGCATGTGCACATGAAGCTTTGGACAAAAGCACATATTATTTTAAAGATGTAGATAGTAGCTATGTTATTCTTTTCTTTATTATTCTAAAGCAAGCAAGGAGATCCAGTTCCACATTGGGTCCCCCATTCCATTCAAGCAACTAACTCATTGTTAGGCAACATTTTATTATGCATTTATTATTAACATGTCTATTTAGCCTTATCTGCTAAATATGCATCAAGGCAACACTTTGGAACCAAAAAAACCCATTAACACTATAAACACCTTAAGACATTAAAAATGTTAAATATTTCAAAGGGTTCAATTAAACAGTTGCAGCTTTGCTCGGTTTCTTGAGGCCGAGAATGGCAGACAACCACAGTTTTTGAGGGCAAGGAGTCCATAATTTTGGTGCAATAGGCCTTTTCACACATAGCACTTCAAGTAATGGAACCCCCAAAGGGCCTCTCCTGCAGAACATAATAGTACAGTTGGGGCTTATAGTGAGAGAGGAGGTCACTTGGTGTCACTCTGGATTGACCCTAGCAGAATGAAGGGGTTAAAATCTTCTACCTACCACCTAGAGTAAAATAAGACAAAAAGACACAGCTGCTTGCCCCATCTTTAATGTGTTCTCTGGGTTCATTATGGGAGCACATGGTTTGCCTGCAAATGACTCCATGTTCAGTCCCAGGAACTGAAAGCAGATTTTAATTGGAATCAGAATAGAGAGTTATGGTTTGGAAGGACCAAGTCTGACATGATGTTGGAGGGCTTCATATATTTATTCTTTTCTGGACTGGTCTATCCCTAACAAATATCTGAATTATGAGACATTTAAACCTGGGGTATCCTCCAGGTTCCTGCCGAAAGAAAGAACAGTGTAAGTATCTTATCTGGGCACATTACTGAATCATGGCCAATAGACTATAAAAGCTCATTATTCGTGAGGGTATCAGTCCTACACAGAATGAAAATCTAGATGATATGCAGCCTGAAACAACCATAAAGAATTTTCCTGATATGCCCAGGAGTACTTGGTAAAGTTGCCATTCATTTCTTTATTCCTTCCTAGGGATATCCCCCAGAATATTCTTGGTATACAAAGTGTTACCTTTTGATAATAAGTGGCCTGACTTTTCTTAGAGTTTCTTATTGGCTTAAATTAATAAAATTGCCTAGGAGATAATGAATATTTGAGGACATACACTTATTATTTTACTACCTATCCTTAAGCCACTTTCCATCAAAGGAAATGAAAAAAAAATCTAATCTGGAAAAAAACATAAACAGAATAATGTCTACAAACTATTTTTCAAGGATCTCATCACTGAGAAAATAAGTGTGTGGTTACTCAGACAACTACACACCACAGATCAGATTGCACATTTGTATCACTGTGTGATGTATGGCACCTGATCCATACATTCCATTATTCCACATCTCTTAGAAAGCCATCCATGCAATATTGCACTTAAAAACATCTTCCTTCTAAGCAGTCACTGGAGCAGTCCGTAACTATTATGCCTTGCTGAACTACCAAACAAAAACTGAACTGGGATATTGGAGGTAAACAGTGACCTCACAATCCATACTGGTCAAGGAATGACTGGCTTTAGGGCTGATCTCCTTCCCTTTCATCTTGAAAACCAGTCTCCTGACTCTGCTGTTACTCTGGTAAGCTTTTTACCAGTACCTAAGTTTCCTAAACAGCATAGTAATTAAGGTACATGGCTGTAACTTCCAGATAAAAGTCAAAGTATTTTGCAACACAGACAGACTTGGACAAGTTAATTCTTAATTGTGTTGTATATATATCAGTATCCAACATTCCTTTGTATTATTGAGTAAGAACTTTGCTGTCAATGAGCATTGAGTTTCTAGATCTGCTAGATCTGAGCAGCATAATATTCTGATCTGATGTCTTTTAAGAGGTTTAAGAAGTATCTGAAAATGGGCAACTTTTTTAAGATGATACTATAAATGCTTGAAGCTGTATTCATAAATTATTAGCAAAAACAAGAAGTTGAATAGATTTGATTTATACATACCTCCAGGAATATTATCTGAATTGATGCCACTTGCTTTATCTGTGAGAAATGGTATTCACCACACCACAACCCAAACGAGATCTCAGTATGCCACAAAAGAAAATAATACTTCAATAGTCCTGCATGAAACTACATTAGGAAGAGGGATCTGTATTTAAGAGCTGAATCAATATTTTAGTTCCATATATTATACCATTTATTCTTGTTCTAACAACCTTTTGCATTTTCAGGAATGTTGGATCTTCATGAGCTCTAGTCCAACATTCTGGCTCAGTTTGCATGCAGTTACAACCCAGGGTTTTTTTTTTTTTTTGCTTTTGTTTTAAAAACTGCCTCATGCCCCTAAGACTATGAATATCAACTGTGAAAACGATCAATGGAGTGAGGAGCCAAAACCAGGTGGAGGAAGGTACTTTGTCAGTGGGTGCTTTTACTTCAGTGTAAAGTACAGCAGACCCTTTAAAACAGAAGATGAAATTGATCAGGACACTGACAGCATATTAGGCTAAATATTAGTCAGTTGGTCTTGCACTGTGCAACAAAAAAATTCCGTGGAAGGGAAAATATGGTGAATGTGCACCTCTCTTCATTACAGCTCTGAAAATTAGTTCCATCTTGCAAGCTGTTGCATGGTTCTGGTTACCTGGCACCTGGGGGGTTTTCAGCTACCACTGAGCAAAAAAACAAATTCAGCTACAACTAAGAGAAAAAACAAATACAATCTTCCCAGTTGGCAAATACTTTTGGTGCTTTGGGAATGACTGGCCAAGGATCCTACTGGGGTCTCTGGTGTTAGGCTTCTCTGCATCCCCCTTGTGTCCTTAGGAAAACATCACTAAGTTACAAGTTTTGCTCAGTATATTGCAGGCAATGTAGCAGTTGAAAAAGTGTTAACATGACAAATAACATGGCATACTTTCATGTGCGCCTCCCTTTTTACCTCCCAAAGCACAGTCTAAGGTTTGCTGAAAACAAGATTTATTAAAGATTCAGGAAAAAGTACAGAATGGGAAAAAAAGCTTGCTGGGTTCTGAGTGCACAAAAATAAGCAGTCAAATTGGCAAATCAGTGGCAAAGAGCAAACAAAAGAGAAAATCATAGTCTAGCTAGCACAGCCCAATGGAATCTGCTTACTTGATTCTTTAAAAAACCCAGTACGTCCATGGTAAAGCTATCCTGTTGACTCTGTCAGATCTTTCCCCTTTTTGGGGGGAGAGAAACTAAACCTGGGCTCCTATACCAGATATCCTGCTATCCACCCAAGATCCTCTACTTATTAGCTTACCAAAAGAGTCATTCATGGCACCTGTGATGGAAGATAAAGACCTCCAACTTCCTTTTCCAATGGAGCATAATTCCTCTGGTTTGCTCCCTTTGCCTGGGTAGAGATTCCAGAAGAATCTCTTGTTTTCTGGCTGCTGACTGTTCATTAATGGCTCCTTTCCAGCTCTGATATGGAATCTAGGAGATTCCTCATTCTTTAGGCACTATGTGGTTTTCTATTGAACAGGTTTTCTAAATCAAGTCCTTGACATGAGCTCAGCCAGGGCACCTGTATTGCAATCTCAGCATCCAGATGACCTGGCTTTTAGCTTCAGCAGAGAAAAGTAACTGATTGCAAAAGGGAGGTTTCCTTCTCCTGCATTTAAGTAAGAAGACATTAGTTTGATCTGACTGAATGGGCCACTTCAGGCCAACCACGATGGAAACATTTCCTTAGTAGTTGGCAACCTCAATATACCAATTACAGAAAGGATGTTGACTTAGAGGCTCAAACATCAAGGAATTCTTTCTCAAAGGTACCTAGCATGTGTGCCACATCTGGCAAAAGTGCTGAGTGGAAAAGATCTGGGGAACAAGCAATGGTGAGTTTGATAGTCTGTTGGACGTTCTGTGATGACTTATTAACAAACTGGCTTAATACAACATGTGAAACTATCCATTATCCAAAGTGACTGTTAAACACATATTAGCACATTCACAACATATTTGGCATTTGGAGTTGATATATCATGTCTGAGTGAAAAACGTTTCATATAGTTCCTGTCCTTATATATATTTTTAACTGTAGATGTCAGGATATCCTGCATGACTAGCTGATCCATTTGCTTCAACAGAATCAATTGTCCATAATATTCTCCTTTTTGTCTATAAAGCTGCTCCTTTTCTGATGAATGGGAAAGACCTGGAGGGGCAGAGAATGTCTTCATGGAGCTGGTGGACAATGGATTCCCTGCATCCACAGAAAGAACAGAGCATGGTTCTAGTTCAGAAATACATTGCATCTCAAGTTTTAAGAGAGATATCAAGCCACTGAAATCCCAGTTGCACATCTGTTTTTCAAAATCTTTCTAGTTCTTTCTAGTTCAGCAGTGTTGCTTCCGACAAACAGCAATCTGTCTTTCAAATATGAAGAAATGTTTTGGCGGTTCAGTAGAACTCAGGAAGGAAAATGAATGTCGAACAGAGAATATAACCAAAATCAGAAGCACACGAATTGTTCCTCCAAACCCACAGTACTCAAACACTGCCTGTCTAGTAAATAAAAGTGAGATGCCGCTAGAAAAGGTTTGTGAATGCTATGTCATATGTTTTACATACCATAGAACTGAGTTCATATTATGGTTTCACTGGCAAAAAAAGTCAGCAAAAATCTAATGAATAAGCAGATTGCCTCTTGGCTTTGCTTTGGGTTCCATTGTCTAGTGCAAAGATCCAGGCATTTAAAGGCCAGGCAGATGCTTTAGTTTAGTAGTTGCTACTAACAGTGATTATAATTGCAAGAAACTTCAATGCAGGCTGTAAGCACAATGAGGTATGGAGATTTTCCAGGTGAGAATATTATCTACACGTTCTCCCAAAAGGAAACAGAACATACTTTACTTCTAGTTCAAATTTTTGGAGTCTGCTCAATTCAGTAGCATGCATGTGGAAACCATATTATCAGCACAAAGTGGAAACCAAAGAAGGATTATCCTTCAGTTAGTAAGAAATACATTAATTCTCATAATCTCAGCACGGGGATAAAACCATAGGAAACTGTATACATTTCTTCACCATCTGGACTTTTGCCCAATTTACACAGATACATATGTTATTCCCACAAACCTTACACAGGCACACATGGACACCCAATTCATGGACACTAAACAACTTTAATATTATAAGGCTCATTTAAAAACTGGCATCCACGGAGAGGACTCTTTCTTGTATTTACTTAAGAGGTAGAACATACATACAAAATCAGTGGTTTTGACTATGGAAGCTCATCCAAATAATTCTTTGAGTTTGTGGGTATAGACATATTCTATAACACCAAACTTTAGCTAACTGCATTTCTCATCAAGAGTAACAGTAATAGATAACTCAACAAGCTTCCCTTAGAAGTATCCTCTAGATGTTTTGGGCCCCTGTTCATATCAGTCTCAAACAGTGTAGCTAATAGTTAGGGATGATGGAAGTTGTAGTCCAGGTTGCATACTATGCTAGAGAATTGCTACTTTCAGCCCTTGAAGATAATGGATGGGCATTATTTCTTAGGTGCCTTGCTAAAACTTGGCAACTGATGGAATGCTGTGTCAGTGACAACAGGTCATTCCTGCAGCCAACAGTATTCAGAATGGCTATTCTTTGATCCACTGTATATATGTTACCATAAAGGCCTTCCATATTTGCAAATTATTCCCTAGGAACAAAAGTATTTTTCTCCTTAAGAGCTTCTACTGAAAACACATTGTGGGGATCTCAGAATCAAGCTGAGTTCACTGCTGGTCAATTTGTCAACAGAAATAGCAAGTCTCTAGGCCAAACTCCAATCTCATGCTGCATTCTCACTTGATGCTGAGTTCCATGTTAACTCTGAATGGTGAGAAGACATTGCTTCTATTTTCACTTTCCAAGCCCGTGTTTGTATTTTCACGGTAGTCCACATCACCTGCACAGTTCTATGATGCTGTTCTATAATGTGTTCTTTAAGCTGTAGCGAATTGCTCATACAGGAACCATGAATATGCAAAATTCAATACATGATGCTCTAGAAATTGTCCACATCCATGATTATGACTGTATGCTCCTTGAAAGAAGAAAGTAGAAAAGAAAAAAAAGTTGCACAAAATTTCAGATGTGTGTGGCATCATGGGTGCCTGCTAGACTCTGTCTAGATGGCCATAAGATAGATTGGAATCTCAACTTCCAGCACTGGAAATGCAGAAACCCAGCTCAGTTCTTTCTATCCTGGCTGTGGCTCCAATGTCACAAAATCAACTTTAGACTGAGTGCTAGGGGAGCAGGGATGGGGCAAGTGAAGCTCTGCTGATATGCAAGGAGCCCCAGGGATGCTTTAGTCCCTCTTCTTTGTGAGCAGGGGCAAAAGTCAAAGATGGCCAAAAACTGCCCATTGTTGTCTTTTGCAGTCACAAAGTGTGAGACAATCTTCACTCATGCTCCTCCCATGCTTGATTGGATGCTCATAATTTTCAACATCCAGAGGGCAATGGGCAACCACATTGTGTGGTACCCTTTCATATTTACCTGATTCTGTATGAGTCTGCACAGGGTCTCTGTTCAACAATGAAGAATGCACTCCATGGAGAAGCTGTAGGGCTACCTTCTTCCTCACATTTCTATGAATGACTAGACCATGTTTTTTAAAGCTTTTGGAGTACAATAATGATTTGGGTATAAAACATTTATTGCTGCTGTAAAATGGGGGGGGGGACTTTTAAGTTGCCTCTTGTGCTGTTTTAAAATTTTATATTGCAGATGTCCTAAAGGGAATTAGAAGTGTTTTAATAAACCAACATTGTGACAACTGATTCTCCTCACAAGGTGAAACATACTGTTTTCAGTCATTTCCTCAGACAAAATTTGCTTTAGATGTCCTTACTGCCCTAGCAGTCTGGCTTGTGCAGGCATAAGTGCACAGTCATTTAAAAAGGATAAAGAATAATTCTGCCAAAGTGCAAAGAGAAAAAGAAATCAAGCAGTGCAAATTTGCTTGAGTGACTGTAGACTGCAGATCTGCCTCAAAGCATTAATAGAAAACAAAGTGATGAAACATGAAAGTGCCACTTTTTCAGTCATTTTGCAATGTGTAACCTTACTTTAAAGGCTTCAGGTTGCCTTCACTCTGACATAAACAAGCAATTGCTAGCAACACATCATGGTTTTTACCATTGGTTAAGAGGTATGATTTTAACCTTTTAAAAAAGGTATGCCAGCTAGTATGTTGGAATGGTTGTAGAAGCTGCCTTCAACATTTACATCCTAATACCAAGTTGTATATTAGCCAGGACCCATGCAGAGGGCTTGGTATATTCTTCCTTCTTTGATGGGAACTATTTTGATTGAAATATGATAATTTTTGCTTAAGTTCCAGAGGCAATGCACCCTCTGTTAACAATGTCTCCTTGCATGTGAATTTTCTGCTAATGTACTAGGACAGATGTAAGAACAGCTTTTCTGGTAGGGTGATGCTAAAAGCAGAACCCTTACCGTTATGTTTTTGGACCCCAAGGATTGCTCCCTTAAAAGTGCTTTTAACTGAATAACTAGAGTACACGTTTGTTCTCACAAACAGCGTTTTATTTTCTTCAGAGAGACTAAGCAAATTAGCCTGCTGAGCTGGCTGGGTGTGAGCACATATGCGTATCTGGAGCACAGAGCAACAATATTCCATTTGTACGATCCCAGTTACGCTTAGCAAGAGTGATCCCACAATGTGGCACAATACATTTGCTCAATATAAACTAGAGAGAGGCGAACATTAGCTCTGCCAGCTACAGATGACTGTCAGGAAGTAACAGGGAGACCTACTCAGGGAGATTTCTCCAAGCACCGCACTTCCCCCAAACTGGATACTATAGAAGTCTTTCCACAGGTTATTAACACTTTTTTTTCCTAAATGAGCAGACTTCAAGAAACTCAAACTTCCTGACGCTTTTAGTCCTTTCCATATGGTTAGAGTTTTAGGGGAGCTTAGCACATTAGAGAAATTGCACTTTGGAATATTCTGCCTAAATCCATGAAAATAATTCTGATAGTAATTAGAACAAGCCCAGAGTTGGGATTGCCTCCAGAGCTGGATACCCAGCTATGTCACTCATTTCACTTCTTTATCCTAATCTAAATAAAATATCTGCTTTCTGTCTCTTCCTGCCCCATCCATTTCCAATTGTGGTAGTAAAAGCATCCGAAAGGGGAACATTGTCATTATTGCTTCCAAAGTGCAAACCAAAATCCTGAAGTTGAGCAAGGGGAATGCAAACATCCCTAATGTCCAGGAAGGAAAACCCATCCACATAAAAGCATCCAAAGGTTCACAAGTGCTACTTTAAAAAGATACATCTTGGTTCTGTATCAAGTATTGAAAGCTTGAGCTTTGTCTCCAGGGCTTAGAACTCCATCCTGAGCATCTTCTCTTACCTTGAGTGAATCCTTTTGAAGTTCAGAGTACAAGCTGCCTTTACTCACTTTTTGCTTAAAAGCAGTGGCCACTACCTTTATATATGTTTGATCATTACTGGGCCTTCCTTATGTGCAAAAACAAATCATTCTTTTGTGTGTCGTATTTTATGCTACATCAGGAAGATACACATGTTGCTTTAGACTGATATTTCATGCTGAATTATGAAGCACAATTCCTTGATAAGAAGAAGGGAAACTTGATTTTCCTGTTTATTACTGAGTGTTTTATTATCTTTAATCTCATTTCCTTAATGATCAGACTTCATCTTTATGAGGCTGAATTATGGCCACTTATCCCTGTTGCAATCTAAAATATACATAAAGTATTCAACCAAATGCACACCCTCCCACACCTGCCACCTTTTCAAAAGGTTGATGGCTTAATATCCTTATTGTCAAAAAGGAAAACGAAAGCTTTTGCTTGATTTCATGGATAGTGTCCTGTTCCACCTTCCCTCCTCCACCCGGTGTACTCATTCTTCTCAACTAGAAGAACAAAGCTTTATTTCAGCACTGGCCACAGCTGAGAACAATGTGCAATTCCTGATGCAAAATGCAAGTGCAAGACATTCCCGTCATCAGTTAGATCCACACAGAGAGGTTCAAGTAGTCCCTACCTCTTGTGCAGGTTCCCAGTCCAGATCAGGGTTCTTCTATGCTGGCAGGAAAAATACTTGCACTGTTATTGGCAGTTTAGCACCTCCGTCAGGACACCCTGCATGGACATTTTCTCAAAGCATTGGTGCAGGTAGATAATATTGGATCCTGAATGGCCTTATGCTCCCCACTCTAGGTCTATGTGGATTGTAAATGTGAGGCACACAACCAATATTTCTCCTCTTGCCTTCACCATGATTCCTTGCTTTATAACTTTTATGTTGCTTACAGATTGGAGCAAATCCAAACAAAATAAGCAAAACAAAACAAAATCCTGCTTGCAAACCCTGAGAAGGGGGCCAGCCTAGCTGAGCTGGTGTTCCTAGGCAAGATGCTCCATACAGCAAGGTTGGCCAGCTGCCTGCACTATGATTTAGCTATATTTTTAACTCAGACCTTACTTAAATGTGGAAGCAACCCCTTTTCAGTCATATAGCTCAGACTGTCAATGTTTATAATTTCCTAGTTTCAGCTGATAGTAAAGAAAATATATTCATAGCTTGACTCAACCCCAATATTTACAGACATGCTTATATTAACATATTTACAAATAAATTAATAAATGTGGCTTAAAGTCTAATGCAGAAAGTTTAAAAGCACCAAGAATAGACAAGGCTCCCAAATCTCTGATTCACCATGAAAAAGAATCAAACGAACTAAAGTATTCTGCATCCCTAATTACTCTATAAATCTTCTTTTTGTTAGGATTTTGACTAAGATCCTCAGGAAGACACTTGGTGATATCAAGTTAAAGTATGCTCTATAAACATATATGTGCTACCATGGTTGTGACAATCCGTATAAAGTGGTAGAATCCTGCCAGCTATATGTTAGACAAAAAACCCATTTGTTTCTCTGGGATTTATGCTTGACTAAACAGATGGTACATTACTGTCTCAATTTTTGCTAGACTAGAAGATGATGGGGATCATTATCTTTTGGATCAATCAAAGAAATGCTATTTACCATTATCTGAAGGCAGAATTTTTCACAGACCTTCTGCTGACAAATACACCATCTCTGGTTTGAATTGTGGTGTACACCTGTTTGGTTCTGCACCCTACATTAACTTTTAGCCCACCCATCTTTAAAGTAAGATCATCAACAAAGATATTCCCCTTTACTTTTCAGCTTTGAAAGATTTGAATTGTTCTGTGTATGGGGGTGGAAAGGAGGTGAGAGAAGAATCATGAGGCAAACTATAGAGAACTGTAAGACAATTAAAAGCACTGCCTAGCCCCTAAATGCAGCTTCCATACCTCTGAAACATTGATCCTCCCTTCCTGGAATGAACATGTCGTGGGATCATGAGTGCAGAGGTTTCGATATTTACACCAGTGGCAGCGAAAAGCACTGTTGACACAAGATAGGCACCTGCCAAGAAAGCAATAAAAGACCAGGTTGGCAGAGGTAAAAGCATAAGTCTGAGCAAATGCACTTGTTTATCTCAGTGAATGTGTTTATTATTGTGTTCAAATATTACAGAACAAAAGCACAACATATATGGATTCATGAAATGCTAATTAAACATATACACAGGTTAAAAGAATGGATATCTCATATATGTATGCGATTTACTGAGGAAGATCTTTGATGCATTCTTATATTCATGTTATTGAAGTTTGGTATCTTTTCAATTTTAATGTCAGCTTCTACTACCAAATGCCTTTCTTCCTTATTTCTAGCAAGTGTTAAATTGAAAATCTAGGAACAGATGGGCAGTGTGATACATAATAAAACTTTGACAGGATTTAGAAAAAATAATGCTTCTGCATTCCTGAGGCATATGCAGAGAAACAGGACCATGCAACTAAGGGAATTTAAACTATATCTTCTGCGTATTCAAAATGCTCCCTATTCACCATTGCAGTTACTGTTACCCCCATACTGCAGATGCAGGCCTGAGGCTAAAAAAGATAGTGGCTTGGCTAAGCAATCTAGTCACTTCATGACAAGGGTATGAACTTGAATCAGGGACTTCTTGGTTCAGCCTATTACCATTATACAGAACACTGCATGTGTGCAAAGATATATGTTAATCAAAACAAAAGCTCTTTGAAATAAATTCACTGAGACATAAACCTGCATACAACACCATATCTCAAATGACTGATGTGATACTTTATGCAGAGCTCAGTTCCTTCATAATCCTCCACTGGATATAGAGAACATAAATGTTGCAGCTAATCACCATGGCCACATGTGTGATTCTCCACAAATCCAGAGTGTTGATAGTGACCAGTGTGGACTAAGAGGCCTTCAAGTTTACATCTTTGATTGAAAAGTGACTTACACAACCAGTAGCATGGGCAGATTTTTGGGATCATGTTCTAAGAGTGGAAGTCTGATGTAACTGTTACACTTGGTTCCCATCCAGTATATGATAGTGATGTGTTAGTAAAACTTATCTGGAGTTCTGAAATGCCAATGCAAATAAAATGCAAACATTGCTAATACACTTTGGATGGGGGCCAATGTGTACCCAGGATTCTGTTGTCATAGCTGCAGCTTTAAGAGAATTGTTCTATATGTGAGACAGGCTGTCCAGACAGATAGAAGAGGATCTTGTTATGCCCAGTGATCATAAGAGAGAACATAGCTGCACACCTTTCCATCATTCTTGAATAGATGTGGCTTACATTTCCTTTCCCCAACAGCAAATCATGGTGACTATCCCCCATCCCCCCTTGGGAACCAATTTTTGCTTTAAAAAATATGAAGAAGGTAACAAATAACAAACAAATCTCTTATCCGTCATTGTTGTTGTTAGTCGCGAAGTCGTGTCCGACCCATCGCGACCCCAGGGACAACATTCCTCCAGGCCTTCCTGTCCTCCACCATCCCCTGGAGTCCACTTAAGCTCACACCAACTGCCTCAGTGACTCCATCTAGCCACCTCATCCTCTGCCATTCCCTTCTTCTCTTGCCATCTATTGTTCCCAGGATTAAGCTCTTCTCCAGGGAGTCCTTCCTTCTCATTAGGTGGCCAAAGTATTTGAGTTTCATCTTCAGGATCTGACCTTCTAAAGAGCAGTCAGGGTTGATCTCCTCTAGGACTGACCAGTTTGATTGCCTTGTGGTTCAAGGGACTCGCAGGAGTCTCCTCCAGCACCACAATTCAAGGGCATCAATCCGTCAATTTATAAATTGGGATTCCAGGGCTGGGATCCTATGGCTGGTACAATCGCATGCACGAAAAGAAAAGCATGATGGCATTATTTTGAACAACTTTTGATAAACTTTTGTCCAGGATAGAAGGCTTTCCCTTACTTTGTAGAGCTAAAGTATGTACAACTAGACTGACTGGTGCAAAACTGAAGTGGTTAAATTGACTGTGGACAGCCGCTTTTCTTCTATGATCATAGAATCACAGCCGAAAATTAAGAAGAGGCTACTCTCTGTGTTGGACTTTCTTTGGATTAATGAACTACAACACTTATAATATAATTAATTATCCATATAAAAATCATTTTGTCTCCATCTCATCTCTCCCCCTACTCCCATTTGCTAATGACTGAATCTTACTACAATTTTATTTTCTTTCATGCAGTTTTCAGGTTTCACATTGTCCTGTACTGGCAAGCCACTTAAAGTTGGCAAATTTCAAGACTCCAAGTAACTGGTATGTGACAGCAGCAACAATAGTTTAATGCCATCTAGTGGGTCAGCCTAGAGCTCAAGGAAAGACAGCTATGATTGCTCCAGAATCTGCCCAGGGCTTTGGTTAGCTTCTGCAGTGCATACAATTTTTCTTTTCCTGTCACTGAGATGGCATTTTTTGGTCAAATTTTGCCTAGAGTTATTCTAAGAGCAGCTGCTTCCAAGGGGACAAACTTTTAAACAGCATTTGAATCATAAGTATTTCTCCTCCTACTGCATAGAAGTGTCTTTTCTTCTATTTCTAATAATAAAAATAGGAGAAAATAGGGAAATTAATATGTGCAGTGACAAATAGCATCTTTATAGTGTAAGAATTTGTAATCCTTCTCCTGCTTGCCCTACTCTATAGTATAAAATGTTCCTGTTTTCTTTTCCCACAGCAACTCACAGTAACGTTAAAGATAGTCAGAGGATTTTAAGGCCAGGATGACCCGCTGTGGTCCATTATTCTCCCTGGTATTACAGAGGTAGGCAGGGTGGGGGAAATACCTAAACTTACAACACAAAGCAAAGTTTTGCAACCTAACAGAAATTATAAAAGAAATGTCAGCACCTCACCATGCCTTAGTGTCGAATGAGAGTGTGGACAACTCCTTCCACACTGCTCTGCAGTATGCTAAAATACACATTAACGGCTGTTGTCCATCTTAAATCCTCAATTGTAATTTCCTTTTGATTCTTCTGTAATGACCTTAATAGCTAAGGAAGCTTATCCTAATCATACAAATGCAAATCTGAGTGGGATAGGAATATTAAGCAGTGGGAGCATATTTAATTACTCATTTATTTGACCTATTTCTCTCTTCTTTTTTCTCTTTAATTGACAAGGACCTGACTGATGCCTGCTCTTTAGCTCCTATTTCTGAGATCAAAATGAGCCTTTCTTTGCTTAGCATATTCCCATTTTCTGCTGCACCACAGCTTGGAATCCCTTCCTCATGACTCCGGCAGTTCATGGATGGCTGCTCTTCCATGGAAATGTTCCCCTCCTTGCAAGTCTGCTCATTTCCCTAATACATCAAAGACAATGATGCTACTTTGGGCTTTTGACTGACAAAACATTCTTGTTCCATTATCACTAGTGAGTTCATCTGGAAAAAAATGGTCACCTCTTTTAGGGACAGATAAAGAACACCATGCCTATAGGTTACAGGCCTTAAGAAAAGTAAGACTTGGATTTAAAATCTGCAAAACTAAAGTAACAGCCTCATCCTAAGGCTTAGTCTATCAGAACATGAGGGCTTAGCAAGTGACATAACAGTAGTGACACAAGCACAACAACTTATAATGTAATTTATTGGTTGTATTTATTTCATCCATTTATAGCCGTCTACTCAAAAGGCTAGAGACAGCTTACAATGATTAATTTAATACCATGATGTTGTGATGATGACATACTGCCCTGTCTTGGCTATCTAATCATCTCAATATTACCTTTGGTGACAGGATGATCAAGTCATGCTCATAATGTATGTGAACTAAAAAACATTTATCCTAACAAATATGGGAATATAATATTTCTGCCTGGGGCAGATGTTCGGAAACAGTGGCAACTAGGCACTAAATTTGATATTTTTACCCTTGTTTTCAGACCTGTTACTTGACACAGATATTTCCCTGCTCTGAGAAACTGTTATACAAATGTAGCATCATCGTTAGAGCCTTTAGGTGTATGAAGAACAGGACAGGATGTCTTACAGCTGGTGGGCACTGCAGTTGTAGAACTTGAACTCTGTGCTGACAAACATCTTGCCTGTCTCTTTCGATTTCAGTAGCAGCTCTATCCCAAACCAGTCTGGAAAAGAAGAGAGAAGAATTGTAGCAACACCAGCAGGCAAAACAGTGGAATATTTCCAATTCTTTATATTTCGTATCAATATTTTTGGGGCTTCTTTCATTCGTTATTTTTTCTTGTTGGTCTTACAGTTGCAAACGGGTGCTTTTCCACAGCTCCAATGAGCCTGTTGCAAGTTTTTCTTTCAAACATGGAAATGGTGAATGCAGTTCATGGCACTGTGCTCTGCATAGGACACTTCTGTTCAATTGAGGCAGTGCTTGTCACACAACATGATTAGCAACCCTACATGGTTCCCATGGTTCATGGGTTTTTACCATGATTTACTTGACAGATGATCAAGTGTTTTCTAGTTTATCATAGTTCCATTTCTCCCTGCTCAGTTCTGCCACTGGCGCTGAAATCAATCCTACGGTGCATCACTTCAAGCTTATGTTGCTTGCTTCTTCGTTAGTCCACAAAAAGTGGCTGAAACCATGAATGACTGGAATGGCTCCTGCAGTTGCCCCTCTTTTCTGAAAACTCTTTGATAGTTGCATACCATGACTGTAGAAGCCATGACCAGCCATGGTGGTACTTAGAAACCATAGAACAAACTGATGCTTCTTCAGTTTGATGATGAAAGGCTGAAAGAACTGGGCCTGTTCAGCCTTGAGAAAAGAAGACAAGGCAAAAAGACAGCATTCTTGAAGTACCTCAAAGACTGTCACAAAGAAGGAGGAAAATACCTATTCTCACTCACTGCGGATTGTAGGACATGGAACAATAAACATAAACTACAGTACACCAGATGCAGGGTAGACACAAGGAAGTTTTTCCTGAATGTGAGAGCAGTACAACAGTGGAAACTGCTGCCAAGAGAGGTTGTGTGCTCTTCTACACTAGAGTCATTCAAGAAACAATTAGTTAACTGAGTGAAATGTGTAACTGGTGTCCTACACCAGCAGTGGTTGAACTCAATGACCTTCTTGGCCCCTTCTGACCCAGCTATTCTATGGTTCTACAAATATGGTTTCTAAAGACCAAACTTACAATAATGAAATACCATGACTAGTTTCAGACAACACTAGAGATCAACAGTGGTAAAAACCCACCACTGAATGAACCCAGGTAGGTGCAGTGACCAATCTCCTGCCAACCTCTTGTTTCAACAAGATCACTGAGTCACAGCAGCCTGGTAGATTTTCATGGCCCCCTCAAAGTCCTCTAGACAGAATAATGCATCCTTGAACCAGAAACCCCTAAAAAGGCTGAGCCTTATATACCCAAGAAATCACCTTTTCTCCTTTGTTCTGTTGCATATCAACAGCCATTACATCAGCAGCAGGTGGGAATCACAGCAGCTCTACCCCTTAGCCATGCCACTGTGTTTATGTGAGAAGAACCAGGGCTCCTTCTGGATGGCCATCCCGAAGGAGCCCATGCGTCACCTTTTTCTCATGCCAGTATTAATTGTGGCTTTTAGGGTTCATGCTGACATGAGAAGTTTCTTCAAAAAGTCCCCTGTCGTGGTCTGTAGTGGTAAGGGCTGGCATTTCCAGGACAACATAAATATTGACTCTAAGACTGACAGGTGATGCCTTCTTGAATCAATATAGATGCCTAGCACATAGATTATGCTATAGTAACACTAAGAAAACTGTGGCAAACTCCAAACTCAGTATTAAAGGGTAAGTTTTCAAAAAAAAAAAAAAATGGGAAAGAGTAAAATAGCTGGATGATGGAAAAACTAGTAAAGCTGCACATGAGTCTGAATGCTCTCTGTTCAGAACTTTCTGGCCTGAACTCATATGCATATTCATTAAGTATTTTCTGCAAATAAAACAGTTATCAGGAAAGTATGGAAATGAAGAAATTAGAAAAAAAGTTTAAAACAATGAGCTGTTTAGTAATGGCATGTGTAAGAAAGAACTTGACAGCAATGATATTACCAAAGCAACAGCTCCCTCCCCCCAAAATAGAAAGCTTCTCCACCCACTCATGGTGACTAAGTCAGACTTCAGAGTATGAGTAACACCCACATTGCCTCCTTCTTGGTCCGCCTCAAATAACAGAAGACTGAGACCCCTAATGATGCATAAGCCCAGAAAGCAGATGGCTTGAAGACTGACTTTTAAATGTGTGGGGTGCATAAAATTCGGCTTACGCAGATTACACCCACAACAAAGAAGCCATATTTGTGGATAATATCCTCTTCTTGCCTACTTTTTGGGGATAAAGTTCTCTCTGCTGGATAAAAGGCACTCGTCACAAGTCTATCTATTTACAAGAGGCATTTGTGAGACTTCAGCATCTACCAATTAACATGAAGAAACAGATTGATGGTGTACAGAAAGTATTTACAATAGGCAAGTAACCAGTTTGTGAAAACTAAAGTCACACTGAAACTGATCTTAAAGAGGCATGGAATCCTAAAACATTGTTGATGAAAGTCCAGTCTTTCAGGACTTGCTAACTACTCTCATACCTTGTACAATTAAAGGGCAGACAACCATATATACAAGTATGGCAAAAGTGGAGGGCGAGGCATCTTTCTAATGCACATGATGATCAATATTCTCTGGGGTATCTTTGCCTTAGTCTAGTGACTCAAGGAGTGGAAAGCACTGCAACAGGAAGGAGCAGAGGCCTGCTGCCCTGTACCCTGCAGTCAAGTGCATCAACAGTTGAATTTCTGTTCTTTTGTGTCGCAAACTCCTGCTGTCTTTGCTATGGTATGATCATGTCTGCTACACAACTGTCAAGCCAGCTCACCCTGGTCCACCGGTATGGCAGGGACATCCTTAGATGCTGGTGAAACACATATGATTTGCTTTCCCAAAACCTGGCCTTCCACTTCAGTGAGGTTTCCAAATACACAAGTGATACCACTTGACAAGTCAGGTGCATCATTCACCAGCAAGCTGAGCTAGGGGGAAAAAAGGAAAGAGATCATCACCTGACATTTCATAAGGAAGGGAGAGGGGAACAGACATGTGGAATATTTATTCTCTTCCTTTCTTTCTTTCCTTCTGCAAGGGAGAAAGCAGAAAAGCTCTATGACAATTTTTAAGTCACTACATAGCAGCTGCAGTTGCTCCACTGACCTGCGGAGTGATAATACCAGTAGGCAGAGAAGTGAAATTGACAATTCTGTCACAACCTGACAGCACAAAGCTTTTAATAAGACTGCAGGCTTCTCTGCTTTGCATCTGGACAACTTTCTTGCACTTGTTGTTTAAAAATATAATGGAATTTTATTTTTCATTAAAACTATAACACCTCAGCAGTTTTAAAATACATCTCTTGAGACCTATACTTACAAATTTCTCAGATCAGTATAAACTAAACTGTTTTTGTTCATTTTCACTGGTGACACATGCTAAGATGATAGCACATATACTGTTGCCACACATAAAATCCAGCATGGACTGGCTGTTTATACAACAATGGAAAACTCATGCTACATTCATCAGGGCTTGCAAAAGGCCAATCCAACTGAAGTGTGTGTTGCTACCTCAAGAGCCTGGCAAGTTCACACAGCATGATTCAAGCTGTAGATGCCTGACTCTGAGAGAGATACAGAATAGGCCTCAACTATGAATTAATGATATAACCATCAAGACTAAGCAAGATTTTAAAATCAGTTTTATATTATAGAGACCACATGTGGGTGATGATGATGATGATGATTTTGCAATACAGAGAAAACTGACTTGCAGTAATCATCATTTCATAACTTCTAGGCTTGGACCACAAAAGCAGTCAGTTCCATCTCTAGTGACACAGCATCAAATTAACAATGTCATGAAGCTTTTCAAAACTTTCTCTGTTCCCACCCCATTATTAGGCAAAATTCTTCTTGTGCCATTACCTGTGGCTGTAGAACTTAATACCACTGTGGAAATATTCTTTTGAGCAAGCTATCCCTTGTCATGACTACCTACCGGAAGGCTGTACTCAGAAACCGGAATACTGCTGGGCTGAACAATGATACTCATGCATTGGTTGATGCTGGCAGCAAATCGGTATGGTTCATCTTCTCTTTCACACTTGTCCCTTCGGGAACACCTAATACAAAAAGCACAGGATTGTGCAAACAGACAATTAGCACTGCCAAAGTTCTTCATATAGTCTAATGTTTGATCTCCAGTGATATTCAGCACCTGAAGATAGAGAGGAATACTAGGAAAAGAATACAGCTATGGGACAATCTATCCTCTACCAGAATTTCCATCTTGTCAGCAATAATGGATTTAAGAACATCTTATGGCATACACTGGCCATTTACCTACATTTCTTCTGGGAATTTATCTGAGTATTTCTGTAAAAAAAGCAGGAAAATGGTGAGCGGGAAGAATCAGTTAGAGTATGATTCTTCTTAGCAATGTCTCATTTCTACTGCCTTCCAGTGGTAACTGTTTGGGAGGAAAATGCTTTCTTGCTTTTGGTATCATCTACTTATTAATTTAGATGTTGTTATGCATTCACTTTCTCCAACTCACTTGCGATTTTGACGTGATCACCATTGCCTCAGTCACGATGCAGCAGGAGAAAATGTTATCTGTCAAGACAGAGGTGCCTTTGCCATGGAGCACCCAGCATGGCTGGGTCTTCATCAGGGTCATCCGGAAAATAAAGGGCTGGCCAATACATAGGCTCACGAATTGCCTAGTCAATTGAGCAATTTGATTTGGCTTCCACTGACCCTATCAGATTTTAATCAAGGTGTGCTTGTAAGGAAAATTGTTTGCAGAATGAGAGATAAGAGAGATGACACAACTAGTTAGAACTGGCTTTGCACTGATTCATAATGTCCCGGACATTACCAAGTGCGTACTGCTCTTGCTGCTATAAGGAGCAGATTTTATTTTACAGCATAGCGGGTCTGTGCTTGCTTCTGCATTCCCAGTTATAGAAATTGACTATCCTTGTTTAGCAGCTGGCATGTACTTATTTATTTGGGCTTCATGCCCAGGGCTTGGTATGAGCTAAATAAAACATGTGCTGATTTTTTGCACACAATTAAAATCAGCGTCATTCCCACCAATATTAAGGTTGTGCAAAGCATCCAAAACAGGCTCACATTTTTACAAGTCTGCAGTGAAAATAGTTCAGTAGGTTTATGAAGGAAAGCGTCATGATCCTCACCATCTGAATTAGATGAAAGGACTGTAGACCTAGGAGGATGCAATGGGAAGTAGAGAAGGAAGTGGCATACAGGGAGCCAAGGTTGTTATTTTCTGTAGACTTTGGCTTCTTTATTTCCAGGGAGACAAAGCTCCCATTTTGAAAAGCTGCGGAAAGTCATTGAGCAGGAAAAACAACTGAAATTTCTAGGAATGCAGTCTTTTGAAAACTAAAAACAAAACTAAAATGAAAACACAAAATAAAATAAAATGAAACACAGCAAAAACCTCTGTGTTGATGACTCAAATTGAAGCACCTCCACTTTGCTGTCTTTGTATGCCAAGAGCTTGAAAATATATCCACAGTTGTAGAAACTGAATTTTCAGTTCTGGGCTCCGTAGCCCTTTGTTTTCTAAGCATTGATCCAGCAGTTACACTGACCTGTAGGACTGAATACCAGTGGTAGACAATAGCAGGGCAACACCTAAACTTTAATTAAAAAATGAAATCTGTAGCTAATTAATTTCTTTCTCATAGAGGTGAAGGGTCTTGAAGCCTGGATTCTGCTTCTCCACCCTGGAGCCACTAGAGTTAAGGTTCATTATCATGACTGTGTCTCCCAGGTGCTCACTCCCCCACTTTCCTCCTTGAACAGTAGCCATTACATGTCACAAGCTGAGTTATAAGCACTGCAGCTGGCATGCGTTGGACACCTGGCTCATCACCAAAGCCATTTCATTTGAGAAAGGCCCCAGAGTGGCCTGAAAGTCTCGAGCGTCGATCAAAATGAAGAAAAATTGAGAGAAAAGGCTAATCATCCTGCTGTCTTTCCATTTCCTTCATCATGAGAGGCTAAAAGGTCACTGAACACACCAAGATACAGCTCTGAAAAAGTTCGGAAAAGACTGAATGCTACCAAACAAGAACCGCGGGTGCTGTTTTGCTTGCAGCACTCAGTACACAAGACAGATAATAAGGCACATGAAGGGCCTGGAAAAGCCATGAGAAAATGTGGCATTTCTAGGGTTGGGCAAAGCCTTAGTTCTGTTGGCAATATCAGTAAAAACTTACCAAATTTACATATCTAGAAGGAACTAGAACAAAATTTGCAATTTGTGATGTAGTTCACAAAATTTTTGAAAACTGTCCTCAAAATGCATACCTGTGAAGAATTGTGTAGATAACATTTGTATAAAAATGTTTCATTCAGTATAAAAGTGGCATAAAACAGTGTAGATTTATTTATTTTATTTTTTTAAAAAATGTATCCTACCCTTTACAGTGTCTCAGAAAAATGCATAGAAAATGAGTCTATTTGAAAAGTTTTCATGAAAGAAATATACATTTTGTGTAAAAAAAATCATAATCTGAGGTAGAAACAGGATTGAATGAATTTAACAGCAGAAAAATGAGAATCTCAGCACAATGAAGCTTGACAGATGCATCCATCCCAAGACTAATGGCCTTGTCTTAAAAGGATATTCTAAGTAAACTTATTTGATAGATTTGGAAGGCTGTTTCTGTTTTTAAAGAATAAGTTTTGCTGTTGTTGCTGAAATTACCACTGTTTCTTGCCTGATGAAGAGATCTGGAGAGCTCAAAAACTTACACATTTTTGTGACCTTTGAAGTTGCCCCAATAAAGTTAACACTAATATGGTTTTAAGGGCTGTTACTATCTACAAGCCACTGAGCCCAATGCTTTCTCTGCTGCAGCTGTATGCATTGGAAGACAAAATCATTAGGAACTATGGCATAGTTCTGAAAAAATGCTGAAGGTCACTGGAGTCCCACAATGCCATTATTATGCTCTTTACAGATGGGTTTTCCAGACTTCTTTTGGAAGCATTTGTTGCTTAAGTGGTACAAGAATAATTTGTTTTCCTTTCACCACTGTGACCGAATATAATAGAAAGGATGCTTTCTGCAAGAACCAGTTTCACAGTTTTCTCTTCCTTCTGAAATGGCTGGATTCAGTCTTAGGTACGAGTACAACGAGTACAACATCTGTATTAGGAGATGCACTGACTTCAACAAAGAGCCCTAATCTTCTTGTTACAAACTTCCTCATGAGGTGACAAGAATGGCTCACAGGACCATTATTGAAAAACCCTTTGTCTCTTACTAAGAGTAGAGTGTGCGGAGGTACAAGAACATCACTAACCATTTGCTCTTTGCAAACAGCTGCAGTGATACCTGGCAATTGATACAGCTATTTTCTGCCTATACCCTCCTCCTCTACTTAAAAATAATGCCCCCAAAATATGAATGCTGCCAAAGAAAATAATTATTGTGCTTTAAGTGAATCTGTCAGATTGCTCTAAAGTGAGCTCTTGACTGTACCCTTTATCTCACTGACTTGCTGGAATAGCTCTTTTTATCATACTGTTTATGGCAACAGACCTAACAGAGATGAATAGGTTTGGGGACAATAACGTACCAGCAAGCAGCAGAATATGGAGGAGCTCTGCATGTGATAGAACCTGCTAGACCAAGGAGACTCTTTTGCAGGTTTCCCAAGGGCTGTACCTGCTACTGGAACAATGGGGTAGCTATCAGAGACAAAAGTGCAGCAAAACTTTCCTTCTTGTTCTGTTTCACAGTAGAGACTCACCTCAAAAGATGGTACTAAGTACTGGAAATTTTGAATTTCCAGGATTCCCTCCTTCCAATTCAACCTAGGATTGTCCCAGATTCCCTTGGGTGAATAAGAGATTGTTCCAAAGAATCATTTCCCCTTGACTTTATCTTAAGGCTCTCCAAAACTCAAGCTTGCTAGGTTACAAACTGCACTGACAACAGCAATGCTGCTGAATGCTGCTGAAAGCAAATTACAGAGCAGGTTTGGAGCTCTGGTGGAATAATAGTAGAAGTCTAGAAGTTGTGCAGAGATTAGCCAAAGCTCAGAAAGTTTTACACATCTCAATTGACACCAAATTTCACCTAGAGTGAACTTTGAGAAAAATTTTACTCAAATAACATTTCAGGGAAATTTAAAATAATTTCATTAAGATTAGCAAAATGTCACTCATCTGTAACCAAAACCATCCAGCATTATTGCCACTATGTTTCTGGACAGAAGTTCTGTGCATTAAACAGTTGTATGACAGGTAAAAAGTCAACAATTCTGCCATCACTTAATTTCTGGGCAAGGACCGAAAGTAGCAATTGTGACTGGAAATCCCATATGGATTCCATAAAGTATCTGGAAACTAATTCCTAAAGAAAAAAGATCAGCAGAAAATAGATGGGAGAGTTTTAAGATCTTCATCTTTCTTCTTTAATATTAGTACCTTTCTGGCAGAACTCATGTGCAGAATTCTCTGGTAGAACCTCCTTATAGTTCACATGTCTCAAACCATTCTTAGCCTTGTCTTTTTTATTTCAATTAAACTGATGGGCCATTTCCTTGATCATCTTTCCCTAATCATGACTTTTACTTGCCTCATTTCTACCAACAGCACACAGGTCTCCTCTCTAAGAACAATGTAAGAGCTTTCTCATGTGCTGATGTGTTCTTTCTTTCTTTCTTTCTTTCTTTCTTTCTTTCTTTCTTTCTTTAGAAAATTTTGGGGCGGCTCACAAATATATCAATTAAAATATTATACAATAAAAATATAAAACAAGTTAACAATATAAAATAAAAAATATAAAATTCTTGACTCCTCCTTTCTCCTCCTTCTATCTCCTTCCATGAACAATGGCTGACTCATCTATAAATGTGTGGACAATGAGTTCTGCCACAAATCTTAAAATAAATCAATATCTTAAAACATCTTTTTGGCATATGTGCAAAAACTGAAATGAACTTAAGTATGACCATGTGTATATTTATCAAATTGGAACTCTGACTGCTATTAGGGAGATAGCAACTTGCAGATCTGCTTGGTGTCTGTAGACACAAGGGATTATGGCAAGATAACATTGAACAAGTTGGCTGCC